AAATGTACACTGCCATCTAGTGTTCATCAGCCAGCTAATAGAGAACTTTATGCCAGTACTATGCAGCAGGACAACATCTCAGGGTATTTTGAGCACTAAAATGAAATACGTCTAAAAGCATAAAATTGCTTGCTCAGTTTGGGGACTGCTCATCTTCACCTGGGATATGAGTTTCTCTGTTGAGGAATGTGCATAAACTATTTCCAGTTTGCACAGATTTTTTTTTTTTTTAAAGTAGAGTGCCTGGAGTGCAGACACTTGTTTCCTACAGAGAGAGCCCGGGAAAGAGGCTCATGGGGCTGTCACTCCTGTGGCAAATTCTTCATGGCTGGATTCTGATGACTTGGTGAGTTTCACAGTGGATCCATACTGTGGCCAGGGCAGGACCAGATGTCTGCACCACAGTGCTCCTGTGTGCTGATGGCTAGAATCGAGGCCAGAAGTCCTTCCGGATGCTCTGACCAAACGCTTTCTTGGCTTTCCAGCTAAAACAGCAGCCTTTGGCTGCTGGGACAACGCTCTGAGAGGAGGCTCCTCTCAGCACTGCTACATGTCTCACAACAGGACAGACACTGCTCCAAGTGCCGCAGGCATATTCACTGGACACGGGGATTCCCTCCCTCCTTTTGGTCATTTGGGTGACTCAGGTCTTTCAGATCTCAGCTCAAGTGTCACTTCTTCAAAGACACGTTTCCTGACAAGGCCAGGGTCTTCCAAACCCCAGAGCTCTGTTTTTTGTGGTGCCCCTCCTGTTACAGTGCTGCCTGCTTGTGTGGCAAAGAGCAAAATGGCATGGAATGGAGTATGTCATGTGACAGGCACTTAGTAAAAACGTGCAGAGAGAATTCAAGGACTAAATGGGATAAAATAAGCATTAGTACAGGCACCTCGCAGATAAACAGAGGACGACTGAGTGTGTGGGGAGACAGAACTGCCGTCTGATGTGGTAAGTCTTTTTCTGTACTGCCAGCTCCCAAATAATGACAGAGACACACTTATTAATTATAAAAGTTCAGCCTTAGCTTAGGCTTGTTTCTACCTAGCTCTTATAACTTAAATAACCCATTTCCATTAATCCATGTGCTGTCACGTGGCTTGTGGCTTTTATCTCTCCTCTTACATGTCCTCTTTGTCTAGCTGGTGACTCTGCCTTTCTTCTTCCTGAGTCTTCTCTGTCCCCAGAAGTCCTGCCTAACCTCTTCCTACTTAGATATTGGCCATTCAGCTCTTTATTAAACCAATCACAGGGACACATCTTCACACAGTGTAACGAAATATTCTACAATAGTCTGACTATAAAGGGGTCCTCAAAATGCCTGTGTTGGAAGCCTGGTCCCCAGCTGGTTAGTATTGAATCATGACTGTATCATCAGTCCACAAACAGCATCAAGGAGCTATTGGCAAGTGATGCCTGCCTGAAGGAAGCATATCAGTAGACATGTCTTTGAAGGGTGGTAGCTATCCCATTTCTCTCAGTTTTTGGTTGAGATGTGAGCAACTCTGCCCTGCCAAACTCTCTGCCATGACTTTCTGCCTTATAGGCCCACAGTAACAAAGTTAACTGACCATGAACTGAGACCTGGCATCAGGAAACAAAATAAACTATCTCTACGTTTAAGTTGTTCTCTCAGGTATTTGTCATAGGGATGAAAATCTGACTAACACAATAATTATGGCACATTTCAAATGCAAAGTAGAGACAAATAAGACAAAAGAGCCAAAAAAAAACACCCAAAGTTTTATGGTAGAAGAAAAAGAACAAAAGTTGGAATAGTCAGAGGAGGTGAAAATACAGTTGGTCCTCTGCATTTACAGTGCATTCTTATGGGCATCCACACTGAGAGCACACGGGCTCTTCTCTGTCTGTTCCTTATTCTGCAGCAGAAAGTATTTCAAGAGCACTGGCCCTGTGATGGACACCATAAGACATCTGCAGGTGGTTCCAGCAAGCACACACAAGCATGCAAATACTCTGCCATTCTGTGAGGGTCTTGAACACTTCTATGATGCAGGATCCAATGCCCCATGGACACCAGGGGAAAAAACCACACTGTAATGAAGCCAAGGTTGTAAGACATTTTAGGAGCTAATTTAAAGCATGATGAGATGCTATTTCACACTACTTACAATGGCTATAATGAAAGACTGCCCACACAAGACACTGGTGTGGACGTAGAGCACCGGCAGCTCTCCCCTGTTGCTATGTGAAATCACATTGCAAACTGTTTGATAGTTGATTTTAAACGTTCCAGTCCACTGCACCATTGGCCTCTGGCTTGGGGGTTTCTTTTAAGGCTAAACACATACCTGCCAGACGAACGATCTAGCAATCTCTCACCTTGCTATTTATGAACATTAATGTCCATAAAAACTTCAGGGGGCACTCAGTCATAGCAACTCCTCCATTTATAATAGTACAGAACTAGAAACACCCATTTTTTATGCAAATGAATAACCAAATTGTGATAATTCAGTTCAATGTAATACAAAAATAAAAGAAATAAGAAAATAAATGGGTATTTGGGGTACTAGAAGGTAGGCACATGGGTGTGCTCTGTATGACTCCATTTACATATAGTTTGAGAGAAGTCACTGGATTTGATGATGAGAAAGTCAGAAAATGAACCTGGGAGAACAGAGACGGCAATGGAGCTTTCTTTACAGAATCCCAGTGCAACAAATGGTGATGCTGGTGGGCATACATCAGTGCTCTGAAAACCACAGCCAAATCCAGCCCTCAGGTCCAGTTCTGTGTAATCTGGGAGTTAAGAATGTTTTGTTGTTATTTTTCAAAGGTAACAAACAAATAAGATATGTGACAGAAAGCATGCAGGGCCCACAAAGTCTGAGGTGCAACCCTCTTTACACTGATGTTTGGAGTGAAATGAAACAGTACGGCTTAGGGAGGAAGCAAGATAAGTACGTAGTGGAAGAGAAGAAGAAAGCCAATTCATCAAAACCAATGGGAACCACGTATGTAGCTGGATTTTAGAGGCATTGGAGATGGAAGGACAGGGTTCAAGTGGGGCTTTCGCCTTCTCTGCTGTGGATGGAAATGAGAAAGAAAAAGCAAAGCAGGAAGGACACAATCCTGCCTGCCAGAGAATTCAAACTTCAGGGAGGACTCCACCAGGAGGATGTCTCAAGGGGCCAGTCCTAACCACATTATGTAAAAACTGTGAACAGCACTCCCAGCCCCATGGCTTGTTCCATCTTTACCCATCACCACAAATTCTTGGCCAGTCCTCCAGCATGCAGGCTGTAAAAAGGAGAGACAGTTTTCTGTCTTACTCCCTGATGTGCTCTAAGCCTCTAGAATTGTAGAAGGCCCTGGGCAGGTGTTCACAGATCTGTGTAAGTGTGCAGGTCAGGCTGGGGAAGCCCCTTCAAGGTCAATGCCAGATGCCCTGTGGCTGTGGGAGGCTGTGCTGTGCTGTGCTCTGCAGGATGTTTGGCATGCCTTCGCCCCACACCTGCCTGATGCCAGTAGCACTCCTCTTGCTGGTAGGACAAAATCTCTTAAGATGCTGCCCAAACCCCTGTGGACAAGAACCAGTGGCTAGCCACGGGCCTTGGGGAGATGAGGGATCATTCATGTATTCTTTAACAAACACTGAGTGCAATGTATAGCTGAAACATTATAAAAATACAAATGCAAAGTTGATAAGGTCTCTGATCTCACAAAATGTACAAAGTAATGACAAAACCTATTAGCTGATTAAATAATTATACACTGTGATTCATGTTCAAAGAAAATATACATGTTGGAAAAATAAACAGGAGAGATTTGTCGGGGATGGTCTTAGAGACGGCCTCTAGAAGACACAGTTTAATTAAAGCCTTAGCATGCATGAGCATGCTCTGTCCTCCACATACTATACAGTATAGAAGCTGAAGGCTGAAGCTGAAAGGAGGATGTGCGGAAAGAAATAAGAAATACTTCATCTGGGCATGTCCTGAAGCTAGAAAGAGCCTGGAGCCTTCTAGGAAGGCTGGCGAGGCCGAGAGTTCGGAAAGGGTGTAGGAGGCTTGGGTTAAGAGAAGGTGCACCAATACCAATGTTGTGGATCTACTCAGATGGCGATGAAAGCCAGAGAGTTTTGTTTTTGTCTCTAGGAAGTGTCAAAAGAAGGAGACTCTCATTAGAAAGAGAAATGGTGAGAAAAGCACAAGCCAGTGACAGATACAAGAGTGAGGGCTGGAAATAGGCTCACAAGAACGCTTCCAAACCAGAAAAGCCAGAGTCACAAGCAGGGATGACCAAACATAGGAAAAAATAGCCTACGAGAGCCTTAAAACCCTTGCTCCTCCCCAGGTTCAGGGGACATGTGTCTACACCTTTGTGCACAGTACTATCCACATTCAGGCAGCAAGTGTCATCCATTAGTAGAAAAGGGTACCGACAAAGAAACACACAGACTGAAAGAGTCTGTTGCTGACACGTGGCAACTAGTGACTTGGTGCAAACCTGCCATGGTGGTTTTGCTTCACTCTGCAGATATTCATTCATCCGTAGCCTAATTGAAGTGCTGGGGAGTGTTTATCAACTCAACAGAAGCTGGAGTCGTCTGGGAAGAGGAAATGAAATTGAGAAGATGCCTCCATCAGATTGTCTGTAGTCAAGGCTGAAGGGCATTTTCTTCATGAATGATTGATGTGATGACCCCTGGCAGGTGGTCCAGGTTGTATAAGAAAGTGGGATGAGAAAGCCATGGGAAGCAAGGCAGTAAGCAGTGTTCTTCCGTAGCTTATGCATTAGTTCCCTGCCTCCTGGCTTCTGCTTAGGGTCCTGGACTGGCCTCCCTCAATCACATCCTTGATATACAAGTATAACATGATGTAAACCCTTTCCTTTCCAAGATGCTTTTGGTCATGGTGTTATCACGGTAAAAGAAAGCAAACTAGGACACTGACCTTCCCCACTTCAAGTGTGAGTCAAGTAAAATGCACAACAGAAAGGAACGCAGCCACCAAAGTCACAGAAATAAGAACCCACTTACCTGTAAGCATTAATATACTCCTTCCTGTGTTCCAGGAGAAAATCTCTCAGCTTCCCAATGTGAGAAATCTACAATGGAAAAGATGGCAACACTTTACACGGACAGGTGCACACTGAGTGAGCATATTTCTCCACACAGTAGAGCACAGCTGCAGGGAGACTCTGCACTGTGAACTCAGGAACTTGTTTCTCATTTTGCTGGGAGGGATGAATGCTAAAACAAGGTCTAGCCACATAGCTCAGGATGGCCTTGAAATTGTGGTCCTCCTGCCTCCAAACTCAGAGGACTGGGATGACAAGCATGAGCCACCATAGTCAACTCACAATTTGGGGTTTAGGATCTCATGGTCACTACCACACTATCATACTAACTCTCATGGGCCTCGGGCTCTGGCAAATGGCTGCTTCTTCCTAACTGTAGTCACCTATTATGTTAGGCACAAGTGATGCCAATGGAAAGTACAGACTACACCAGATAGCACACCTCATGAGCTCAATAAGGGGCAATTCTTTTTCTTTCTTTCTTTCTTTCTTTCTTTCTTTCTTTCTTTCTTTCTTTCTTTCTTTCTTTCTTTCTTTCCCTTTCCTTTCCTTTCCTTCCTTCCTTCCTTCCTTCCTTCCTTCCTTCCTTTCTTTCTTTCTTTCTTTCTTTCTTTCTTTCTTTCTTTCTTCCTTTTTGAGTGTATTGTATGCATCTCTATTCATAGACAATCATTTCTTCTCTCAAGAATTGTAGGGAATGGTTTCTAAGGCTGAAGCTGCAGGTATATAAACAAGACTTGTGGGAGTAGTACAAGTAGAGATAGATGACTTGGACAATGATTTAAACCTACAGGGATCCCCACCTTCTTTGTGGGTGCTCCCAGATGAGCAAGAAACAACGGGGTGTGAAACTCTTATTTTGATATGGCTGACTTCAAGTTTAATGAAAAGCCTACTCTGGGGCTGCTGGTGTAGCCTAGGCACATGAGCCCTTTCTGGGATTCTCCAAGCCCTGGTTCCATCCCCAGTAATGAGAACTAAACCAACCCTGCTCTGGAGCACCTATATGTCAGGGGGAGTTAGTAATTCAGTCAGGTCACAGTCTTTGGGGACAAGTGTTCTGAGAGGAAAAGAAGGACTAGCCAGCAATGGCCTGCTTCTGTCCAGTGACTACTGCTCACTCAGACCTCCACTCTTGCCTTTGTGCTTCTCCTGACAGATCTGCTGAACTTTCACTTCTTCGTAAGATTTTCTGTTAAGACCAACTCAGGATAATTTTCTCTTTGCTGTGCATTTAAAAGGACCTCTGCACACCTCCTATGCTGTTAAACTCTGACTAAGCTTTTATACGGATGCTTCTCTTTTCAGATTCATCATGGGCTGCCCAGGAGGTCTACACAGTGTTCCTCACAAGCCTATGCATAGGAGACACTGAAGATAATCAGCATTCTCACACGGGACAACATACTAGGTTTGTCTGGAAAGGTGTGGGAGCTACTGTGGGGCAATGCTCGTGTACCCTGTAAAGATTTGTCACTTGTATTGGTTTTATAAAGCACTGATTGGCCAGTAGCCAGGCAGGAGTATAGGTAGGGTGGCCAGACTGGGAGAATTCTAGGAAGAGGAAAGGCTTAGTCTGTAGTTGCCACCCAGATGCAGAGGAAGCAAGACGAAAATGCTGCACTGAGAAAAGGTACCAAGCCACGTAGCTAAACACAGATAAGAATTATGAGTTAATTTAAGTTGTAAGGGCTAGTTATAATAAGCCTGAGATAATAGGATAACTAGTTTATAATTAAGATAAGCCTCTGTGTGCTTCTTTGGGACTGAACGATGGCAGGAGAGAAACTTCCATCTACACACAGCTTTGATAAGGAACCAGAAAGATTCTCATAAAATGTTGTATAAGCTCCAAAGAGAGCCAGGACACAGGCCAGCCCCAGCTGCTACCTACAGTTAGCTTGTTCTAGCATGCAATGGAGAAATGGTACTGTAGTTGAGTGCAGAAGCAAGAGGGCCCCATGGCTCACAAAAAGACAAAAACAAAATGTTTCACTTTTAAAAGTCCAACAAACAGGACCCCAACTTCACCTGATCCACAACAGCAAATTTTTATCCGATGAGTTCATTAAAACAGAGTGAAGCAGTCAGGCAGTGATGGCACACGTTTTTAATCTCATCACTAGGGGTGCAGAGGCAGGCAAATCTCTGAGTTCCAGGACAGGCAGGGCTACACTCAGAAACCCTGTCTCAAATATTAACACAAAACAAAAAGAGTGAAGCTTCCTCAGGATTAAATGTAATTCTTGCTAAGTTAACAAGTTACTTGCTATCATCAGGAGCCTCCCTAAGGTCGCTAGAATTAGTTCTCTTCACGGAAGTGGCCGGTTAGGATGCCCGTGCTCCAGTGGACAGCCCTCTGCCTCTGCACATGAGGACAGCACCAGATTATAAATTATGAAAAAAAGAGATGAACTTTGGAGAGTATAATGTTTGAAGGCCTAAGGGAAGCTGGAGGGGGCCAATATGATAAAAAATATACTGTACACATGCATGAAATCACCAAAGAATTCATTTAAAATGATATTAAATTCAACATCAGCAGACTATATAAAAATATTTAAATGCCAAGAATGAAACACAACAAGGAGACATTAAGATTTCTTTGTGTGTGTGTGTGTTCAGGCATGTGTACACGCAATGTGGAGGCTAGAGGCTGATGTCAAGTGTCTCCCTCAATCACTCTTATACCTTACTTTAAGGCTTCCTATTTAGCGCTTCCTTAATTCTAGACATTTGAAGGTGAGAGATTTCTGGTTAAAAGAATGACTAGTAAGAGAAACCTAGAGCAACAACTAAGACCCAACAGTCTCTAGCTACTGCATCTAAGTACCTGCAGTGTTCGTTTATGTTCTACTTAATGCAGTAAGAGCATACTAAAAACCACCAGAATAAAGCCTGACTCAGAACCTCCTCCAGGGCAGATAGAATCTCAAAGCTCTGCATGCACTAACTTGTGATGATGCTGCAAACCTCCCAGGAGGAAGGAACTATCATGTGCCCATTCTACCAGGGAGAAGACTGAGTCAGAGAGAGATTCCCCCTGGCTCAGAGAGAGACACAAGGGTTGAACTCTGTATGGAAGCCAGGCAGTCTAAGTATCATGCCTTATTTCTCCAATACCTGACTCACAAGGAGGACGAGGAGGAACTGGAGGCCATATGAGCTGGCAGTTCCCTTCTGGTGTGTACATTCCTCCACATACCACACAGTCATAACAACCCATCAACTACCAGACACCTGCATGCTCGGTAAGAAACACTGCTCAGCAGCTACAAATATGCTATGATTTGCACCCCCATGGCATTTGTATAATTTGGACATCATCCACTACTCCAATTACTAGGAAGCAATTCCAATTACCAGGAAGCTCAAAACTGGCGAGGCTTGTCAGGGTGTAAACAGGCCCTGCACAAGGTCACAAGGCCAGGAAACAACAGAACTAGAAGAGATCAAAAATCAGACACAAAGGCAATGCTGTTTATTCTGTACTGAATTTGAGTTTTCATGTGGGAATGCTTGCATTTGTTGATTTAAAAAAACTTCATTTAAAAATTTTTAGGATTTATTACTACTTGCACATATGTGCTAAGATATGTGTGCCACTGTGCATGTGTGGATGTCAGAAGACAACCTGGTTGTGTCAGTTGTCCTCCATTGTTACATGGGTTCTGGAGATCAAATTCAGGCCATCATGCTTGGGCAGCAAGAATTGGGCTGAGTCATCTTATCTATCCTAAAACATCCTTTTAAAGTCAAATTCTTAACTTTAAATGTTTGTGTATAGCTAGACTTGCAATATATGTATGTCTTCACAGACCCAAGGTTTTTCCTTTGAAATCAGCTGCTGTTCCATGTTTTGCAACCCAGGAAGCTCAGAACTGGCAAGGTTTGTCAGGGTGTTAGGAGGAGGGTCCACACAGAACAGTAGGGTCAGAAACACTTTTGGGAATGATGGTGGTCATTTATTTTGATCCTCAATCACCAAGCTACCTCAAACACAATTTACACATTCAAGGACACACGTGCACCTGAGTTGATCCACATCTACAACAAGGAGAAGCTCCAGGCAAGAACTGTATGGAGCGTGAAAAGGGGAGCACAGAGTAAAGTAGAATAAGCAGTAAGGAGGTCACCCCCTGTTCTTGACTGCTTGACTAGTTGTGAGGTAGTAGGGGGAGGTCACCCCCGTTCTTGGCCGTTTGACTAGTTGTGGGTTCTGCAGCACCACCAGCAACTGCACAAGACACTTCTCTAAGGTCTGAGAGCTGCACTATTATGGGTAGAGAGATGTGAATTTAGATGTCAGTTTGATACTATATACATTCAGAAGAATAAAGTAGTAGGTTCATGTAGTGACATTTTAATTGTATTTCAATAAATAAAGACTGCCTGAAGATCTGAGAGCAAAACAGTGCCACTGGTCAGTTTTACAGACTAGGTTATGGTAACACACACCTTTAATCCCAGCAGCCACACTAGATGCCATACATGTCGGGTGGTGTATGCCTTTAATCCCAGCCCTAGAGAGGGATATAAGATGGGTTTTAGGGAGACATCTCTCAGACACAGTCTCATTCTACGATTACCTAGAGACAGGATCGCCACTTCAGTCTGAGGTCGAGGTAAGAGCCAGAGGCTAGCTGTTTTGCTTTTTAGATCTTAGGTTGAACTCCAATTTCTGACCCTGAGCTTTTATTAATTGTGCTTCAGGTTCACTCTTGGGGCCTCTGTGCTCACCAACCCTAAGTTCTGGGCTAAAATTATAGTACTGGCATACGTTTCCTCCTGTGGAGAGGGTCTTAACTCTACTGTTTTAAATAAAGCAGCTGTTTAAACCCTTCATTTAACATTTGTGCCACCATTGCACTGGTGGTCACAAAAGGCCATGCTGGCCATTATTACAGTTCACAGTATGCAAACACCTCAGTATTATAAGAGCCAGTTGGCTGGGAGGGCGCTTTCCTGTTAGCACCAGTTTGATTTCTCCATGTTTGTGACCAAAATCTATGGTGTCTTTGGTGTTA